GGCATGACCATAATTTTGAAAATCGGTTGTTGCGTAATGTAACGGCTGTTATGTAACCCGTTGCACCCCCATTTAAAGGTGAGAATGACATTCACATCCATAATCGTCATTACGGCCCTATAATGCCCTTAACGACCGATATGGACAAAATTGGGCCGATTTACCCGTTTCAACACAAAAACCATCTAGAAAACCCAAAATGCGGCCACTCTGTTCTTCCTCATCCTTATTTAGATCTAGAAAATTCCTCATCTTTGAGATGCAAAAAAGGCTAAAAAAACTCATCTTTAATTTGAATTTAAGAATCCAGCTTAGTTGAATTGCGTAGGATCTGTTGGATTAATCTCCATATATTCTAGAACCATTGCTTTTTCGTTTCAGATCTGTGCTCGGCTATTAGCTTCGTTTTGTTGAAGACTCCGACCATCGCTACTCTTCATTTGTAGGTTTGGTTTTGTGGGTATTAGGTGTTTTTTGCTGATTGCTTTTTGATAAAATGTCTGAATATGTCTTCACTTATTCTCCACATTTTTTATTTAGTGTAAATGGTCCAGTTGCTTTTTTACACAAATATAAATAAATTATAATATCATCTTGTAATGCTTAACGAAGTGGGTTGATTATTATCATGCTTATTCAATATTAGACATATTTTTAATATCTCATTAACATGTTTATGATACAATAAAATATACTAAAAAGTACCAAACACTCATATTTGTATTATTTTAGAGTTGAAACAAGTAAAGATTCATTTTCTATGGGTGTTGTGAGTTGAAAAAAAAAATTTACTCCTTCGGTTTCCGTTTCTATTACATAACGTCCGTGTCTGTTATACCATTACCGTTATGGTAGTCGTTACCATTTTCAAAACCATGGGCATGACCCTTGTTGACATAGACAATCCATATGAACATCAAATTAAATGCTCAACATATGGTCATAAATGCTCAGCATAGGATCATGAATGCTCGACACAAAACACTTGATGTTGGGGATGACATAATGAGTAAGGAGTGGACAATTTTAAATGCTCGGCCTCCCGAGTAATGAAGTTATGATTACACCCCGTTGTCAAGCATTGATGAGGCATGATGGGACATATTAAATGCGTGGCTCAATGGTGAAAGATGTGTTGACATGATAGCCCTCAAGGAGGGGTTTTGGCCATAGGCTGTCAAGCCTAATGATAGCGCAGCCATTGGTTGTTTAGACCAATATAATCTACTTTAGAAGCCTAGACGAAAGATTAAGAATTTTTGGTCAAAAAGAAAGTGTAATTGATAGTTTTATTATTATTATTTAATTTAGGAGTATTAGTTAGAATTTGATTAAAAAATTATTAGAGTTTTATGTAGAATACGAATTTGAGAATTTGATTATAAAATTCTTTTAGTATTTTAGTAGGAAAATATTTTTTATTTTGGTAGGAGACTTAGTCTATAAATATAGATGTAAGTTTTATTCTTTTATATTAGAGAGTGATGTAATAAAAATTGTTTCACTGTAGAGAATTTTATGTGTTTCTTGACATAATTCGTGCGAGGATTTGGTATCTCTTTTTCTTTTTATTCTAATTTTTTTTTCCGACTTACATCAAAACTTCGATCCACTTTTTGCTTCTTTTTTTGCTTCCCGTTCTGAAAACAAAGTTTAAACCACGATTTACTGTTCATACAAGGTATTGTTCAACCATCTAAAAAACCCTCCATTGTTTGCACAATCCACCATTCATCATGATCATAGCAATTACCATGAGTGGTTGCTTCAAAGTTGAACCAAAGTTTTTGCGTCAAACCAGTTCGCTTTTGAACGGGCCTTTGTGAAGAAGACTTTGTGGATTTTTTTTTATTACCTTGTTGGGTATTGAAGGTACATACTTAATCCCAATCTCCTTTTACCTTATTTTTTTTTTCCTTATATCTGCCTGAACTACCTTCTTAAAACCTTGATCAAGCCCACAAAAGAAATGGAAAATTTCAGCCCAACCCAGAAGAACAAAAACCAATCCAGCCCAATATCCGTAGTGAACCCCAACCCACCTTGCTGATCCTACCACAGAGCCTATACAACCCAGCCCACTATTCTATAGATTCACCTCCAATACTTTCAGAAGTTACATAGCTCCCCCCTAAAGTTTTTGAAATTATACTTTTGCCCCCAAATTTTCTTGCAATTGCAATTTGGGCCCAAAAGTTTTTGAAATTACATTTTAGCTAACAGGAGTTTGTGAATTTATAATTTTTACCCTAGAATTTTTGGCAACTCTTCAAATCACTATTTCCATCAAGATGGTTACCAATGCCTAGTTAAGTGCTAGAGTTGGAGCACATGATTCGCGATTAGATTCTCTCCAAGTATCTATCACCTCAATAAAAGAAAATAGGGAAACCCTAATAGCCATTGTCCTAGATAAAAAATGGTAAATGAACGGAGATGCATACAAATCATGATTCCTCCTTATTGGTTATCAATCAATAATCGGTGCTCGCACAGGCACCACAAGCCCCAATTCGAGAAAACTCAAGATTGTTTGATTTTAATAAAAGGGTTAAACTAGATGTTGGAGAATTTTATGGGGATAATAATTCCTAGATATTCCTTGATTGGTTGCATAGCCTTGAAATTTTTTCATATGGCATCGTTTGATTGATGAGAGAAAGTTATTCTTTGCAGAATCTAAGTTAAAAGGTGTAGAAAGACTTTGGTGAGTAAAGCACCAATAAACTCACTTTGATAGATCATGTGATGATATGAAGATTGCTATGACTCGCTACTTTGTGCCAGCTAATTATAAGTAACGAGCCCATCTACAGTTTTACACAATTAAATTAGGGAAGCATGTCCGTTAAGGAGTACACAGGAAAGTTCTATAGTTTGGTCACCGGATCAGAGTTACCATGGATTGAGGAAGTGATGATTGCCATGTATAGGCAAAAACTCAATTTTAAATTTCTATGGGATTAGCTGCAAGTAGACTTTACACCATGACAGATACAATTCAGGTTGCCTATCAGATGGAAGATGAGTTTCTATGAAATATTCTATAGCACCTGCAACTTGGATCGAGAGAACTGGCGTAGATGTAAGTCAAGGTAAGTCAACTAACAAACCTTAACAGAGTACTTTTATTTCAAACAAATTGTGTCAGGTTAGTGTTTACTTTTTCTCAAGGAAGTATTAATTCTAAGACGAGATGTTTTAATTGCCATGGTTTTGGCCACGTCTTTTCAATGCCATATAAAATCTGTTGTTGTGGTTGAAAAGAAAAATTCCAAGGTGAATAAAGAGTTTGAACCAGAATTTAAAACAGAAATTGTAGAACCTCTTGATATGGTGAGGTTAATTTTGATAATTTGGATGATGATCATCTTGTAGGTGTTATTCGTCTTCTACTTATTACTGATAAAGAAGTTGCTAATGATGAGTTTATTCATTGAGGAAAAATCTTCCCGACAAGAGTTAATTGTGAATGACAGATATGCTCATTAGTGATTGACACAAGAAGTTGCACAAATGTGGTATCGGAAGAGGTCGTGAAGAAACTAAATAAAGTTAAACCACATCTAGAACTATATTATGTGGCATGGATTATTGATACCAAGCTGAAAGGTGATAAGAGATATCCAGTTACATTCACCATTGGAAGCCTTAGGGAGACCGTCATATGTGATGTGTTGCCTCTCAAGCTTTTTCATATACTTTTACGACGCACTTGGATATGGGATCGTGTTGCACAACATTCGTGGCATGTTAGTACCTATTCCTTTGCAATTGTGGCTCTCCTCCTTGGTTGCTGCTGGAGTTGAGTTCTTTTCAAAAGGGCAGAATTGATAGCGTAACCATTGGTTGGTTGGAACAATACAATTGATTTTAGAAGCCTAGGCGAAAGATTTAAAATTTTTAGTCCAAAGAGAAGTGTAATTGATAGTTTTATTATTATTATTTAATTTATGAGTATTAGTTATTATTTGAGTAGAAAATTATTATAGAGTTTTAGTAGAATAGAACTTTAAAACACTTTTAGTATTTTAGTAGGAAAGTGATTTTTATTTTGGTAGGAGACTTGGTCTATAAATATAGATATAAGTCTTGCTCTTGTATATTGGAGAGTGATATAATAAAAATTATTTCTCTGTGAAGAATTTTATGTGTTTCTTGACCTAATCCTTTCCAGGATTTGATATCTCTTCTTCTTTCTATTCTCTTATTTTTTCCTCTTCTGTCCTACATCACCTAAGCTTGGTGTGCTTAAGTGGTTGTCATGTCATCATCTTTGAAGGTATAAATAGCCCAATGTGACAAAACTCAAGTATGCATTCTAAACAAGAATTGCAGAGTACTCATATCTTCTCACCTTTGAGCACTGACTGACTTAAGCATCGGAGGAGATACGCCAAATACACATCAGACCCCTTTTTGACTTCATTTCTTGTTTTAGGAATCTCTCCTCAAGTTTGACCGGGATTCGCTATCTCAAACTATTGTAGGAAATTACCCATGCAATATGAATCATCACATCATACGGAATCAATTTTTGTTATGCTGTTTGTCTATTTTCTTTGAGAGGACATGTGGAAAAGAGTTCATGGTGTTGCAGTCCCAGGAAGTATCATTATAATGACCTTTTGTAGTCACCTACCACTTGTGTATCAACACTTGCAATTATGGCAATTTTGCTGTTGTGGTTGGATCATCTATAAAAAGATCCTGTTTGTAGCTGACAAATGATGTAATCATAGTTTATTATTTAATTTTCCTTTTGACCATTTTAATGCCCTATAATAGCAGTTGCTTTTCTCAAAATTAAGCACTCAGGAACTTTTTATTCTCTTTTAGACAATGATTTCTTCTCCATGCCTTAAACATATTGATTACTTATAATTTTGGGCGGGCTGAATATAAGAGATCTGCTGTTGGGTTTGTTGAACTACTGCCTTCTTAGAAGCAGATTTAATTGAGAGGAGTTCCTTTAACGTCTCTAATAATGTCATATAGGAATGGTAGATGGTAGTATCAGTGGTTTAGGCTATAGAGGTTTTCCAAAAATGTGTCACCTGCTAGGTTGAAAACTCAAAGCATTTAGCTCCAGCAAACATTTAGCCAAGGCGAAGCATTATATTTGCAACTTTTATTTCTTACAGTCATGGAATAATGTCTAAATTCTAGTTTAATGCAGGTGGTGGGGTTTGTATGATGAGTAACGTATGGAGAGATGAACAACACCCATCCTTCATCAACTTCATCTCCTGCTTCCTTGGTGCAAATTCTTTCCGGTTAAACTTTGTGCCAATAGCCCCTGTAACTACCCTCCTTATCTCATTTCACTTTTAAGGTTATCCATAATTCATTTTAATACGGACTTAATTGTAGGATTTAATTTTCAATTGCGGGGGTTTGTCAGTGGCTTTCATTTTTGTAACCGACTGGGACTGCAACAACATTGCGTCTACCTTCAGCAGGTAACTCTGCTAGTTTAGTAATTAAAGCTTCTTGTTTTCTGCCCTATTTTATGTTATCTACTTGATACAGAGTTCAGAAACTGAAGGTGCAGTTTGCCCATTTCTATGTGGTTGTTACTCTCCCTACAAAGGAGCAGAATGATTCCTTTGTACGCTCCTATTTTAAGTAAGTTAACTTATAACTACTGCCTGAACTGCTTTCTGCAAAATCCTACTCTGTATGATCTAATAGAACATGGATGCTTTCTGGCTTTCTTGAAGTTATGGCATGGAGCTTGGTAGGCCAACATTCATGCCAGTGCAAGACCTAGAGATGGGCTTTGAGAAGATTGTGAAGATATCTCATGCTCGTGGGGGTAAGGCCCCAATTTTCTAGAGCTCCCTGCAGTAAATCTGTGAGTGTATTTGTTTATCCCGACAGTATTTTGTTGCAGTAAGTAAGAGGCAGGATGCCATATCCAAATTAAAGGCTGAGGTAAGTTTCATTAAACTATGGTATATTACTTCTAATATAGCACTTCTGATTTTTCAGAACGCAACTAACATATGGTCTGTTGCTTGTTAAGAGGGAGTGGTCAGTGCAAGAGATGGACATTTATCTCAGAGTGGTCACATCCATTCCTGGCATTGATGGACATGATGCAAATTCGGTACTTGAGTTAATCACTATCTGAAAATTCTGTGGTCCATTCCTTTTGTGCATTCAGCAAGTAGGCATCACAAATCTCTGATGGTTTTCTCTCCTGCATCCTTCTGTCTCTACCTCACTCTGCCTTCTTTTCTCAAAGGCATTCATGCGATTCTGTACTACCAGCATTGGGAAGTTATGGAAATGATGAAAATCTCTAGCAATATGCTGAAGTCTCAATTTATGCAGTCTTGCTTGCTGATTGTGTTGGACAATTATTTGAGATTATTTTCTTTAACTTTATTTTTGCTCATTTTCGAACAATAGGGTCATGAGATTTTGGCTTATTACTTTCATGATATGCCCCTACATGATAACATTAGTTTCAGGACAAGATATTTCGAAGGCTCGGTAATAACTTATCTCTCATTTGTGACTGATATATAGCAATAGAAAGTGGAGCAACGTTGGAAAAGGGAGTTACACCTTTTTTTGTCTAGTTCAGTTTAATGCCTTATGAGAGAACTTAATGAAAGGCAGTATATGTTGTCACTTAAAATTACTAGTTGTACACTGATGTTATGTGGGAGGGTATAGCAAGCAAGTATTAAGTGTTTTAGTAATTTGCTTGAAGTTTGACAAGGTTCCCCCTGTATGTGTTGTAGTCATATTCCTACATCTGAAAAAGGTAACTGTGCCTCAAACTTCTACCTGTTTCAGCTTAATCAAGCCATCGGTTCAATTGAAGCAATAGCTAAAGCATCAAAGGAATATATTTTGGAGAACACAGACCTTTCAGCTGAGAAAGCAGAGAAGATTACAAGGTTTTTTAGAGATTCAAAGTTTTACCTTGGTCCCAAAATTAGTTGAGGGAAGTTTGATGGCTCAAATGAATTCTTTGCCAGTCCAAAGGTGATTTCTTCAAGTTAACATTTTAGGATGTATTTCCATTGGGATGTCGCTGCTTATGAACTATGCTGTTTTGAATTCGTTGAGAATGGAACAAAACTTAGAAAAATATTGTTCTTTGGGAGTTTCAAGGTCAGGAAGTCGTAACTCTCCCGAGTTTACTACTGCAGTTTTATATCCATATTGTTCTTCAAGAGTTTGAAGTTCAGGAAGCCATAACTCTCGAGTTTACTCCTTTTGTTGTATATCGATTCCTCTATCGTCTGTTTGTTTCTCAGAACTGCTTAACAACACATCCATTTCAAGCATTTTGTTTTCTCTCATTTTTTTCTTAAAACAATGTATAGAATTTATTGTTTTGGTATATGGTTATGATATTCTGTTGGCTTTAGGGTTGCATAGTTAAATGAGTGGTGAATACTTATTTAGTTGACATCAACAGTGCAGCTACATACTGATAGTTTGAGTCAAATATGCCACTTTCTTATCCAGTTCCCATGCCTCTGCTTCTTCCATATGCTTCTTTATTTGGCAACTTATTCCTTAGTGCTTGTTGTGGTAGGACAAATCTTATTTTTGTGGTTGCGTGGTTCCCTAGCAAAGCTGCAAAACTCAATGCTGGCTGCGGCTGTTAGAAAGAATCTCTTCCACTGCATGTAATTTGGGCTTCCCTGTGCTTGCATTTTTTGAGTTTAACGTTCCAATCATTTTGTAAGGGTTTTTAGCATGCAAACTAGATCGGTGCTTGGAGTGATTTGATAAATGGTGATACATGGTACACAATGAGCTTCTAAAAAGTGTAAAGGATGCCATCCACGCATTTAAGCAAGGACTTTAACATAGTCACCATTGTGATTGTTCATGGCCTTGATAGGGCACATCTCTCTCTCTCTTTCTCACACAAACACACGCACAATATCTGGAAATAATCCTTTAACAATAGTTGAGGCCGATATGTTACGATTGAGAATCTAATTTAAAGCAAGCGTATGGCTAGTTCATTTGTTGGGAGCCTCCATCTGTGTAAACGTTTTTTTTACCCTTCCCCGGTTTCTTGGATTGTGGTTTTAGAAGGCAGGATGGAAACCACAATTATTTTCTCCTTTGTGATCACAAAACAACAGTGACTCTCAACTATTGTGCTTAATTTGCTACAGTGAGCATCTAACAATTATGTGCTTCTCCTGTAATATATATTCTTATGAGAAATTTGGAGGCCGGTCCCCTTATATAGATTTATTTGGAGATAAATCTGACAAGGAAATTTATTTGGTTTTAAATATGTTTTTTGTAAAGTTTACTATTGTACCCCTACCTTGGAGAATAGCAACAAACAACGTTTGATAATTATAGAAAGTCACTTAGGTTAGATCATTAAAGTATATATAGAAACCGTTGATTGAGTTATGTGGAAATTATTTATTAAATATTCTGATAATTAACAGAAGTTTTATATAGAATACATATATTCTGATAGTTATATATACAAGTTTGATGTATGAATAAATTGTTGGTATATTAAGCCAAATTTAGATCACAAGATTTTCTTAACAATTCAAATTCAATAGTCACATGATACAAGCATAGGGTGACACTGTATCTATTATCAATATCCTAACTAGCATATAGTAATATGACACAAAATCACCAAACATATTGGATATATAACAATTATTAAGAATTATGTGCAAAAATAACATGAACAGTGCCACACAATTAACTGATGTAAACATAGTAACATCAGTTTAATAAAATTAATTTTTTAACTGAATCTCAGTAAAATCATTTTTAGTAACATCAGACAAACACAGTTTTGAGTTCTCATATTACAATTTTGTGGAATGAAAATTCCATTATACATAACATTATAAGTCCATTATAATGTTATTAAGTTGATGTTGCTATGTTTATATCAAGTAATTGGGTGACACTGTTCTTGTTACTTTTGTACATAATTCTTGATCATTGTTTTATATTCATTATGCTTGGTGATTTTGAATCATGTTACTATATGTTGGTTAGGATATTGATAATATAACGTTATGTTATAGTATCACCCTATGCTTGTATCATGTTACTATATCCTAATACTATATGTTTGTATCATGTTACTATTGAATTTAAATTGTTAAAAAAATCTTGTGATCTGAATTTCACTTTATATACTAACGATTTATTCGTACATCAAACTTCCATATATAACTATCAGAAGATATACATGTCATATATAACTTCTGTTATTATTAGAATATTTAAGAAATAGTTTTCATATATAACTCAATTAACGGTTTTCATATATAATTTAATTAACGATTTTCATATATATTTCAATGATCTAACCTATATAACTTTTTATAAGTAGACAAAACTAATACCGTTAGGGGTAATTTTGAGATTTAAAAAAAAATGGACTTAAGTACCTACATATAAGTTTAAACGTGGACTTAATCTCAAAAAAGTTTTCTTCTCAGACTCAAGTCAATATAAGTCCATCTAGGGGGACTCACCTCTAATTTTCACTATTCTTATTCACGATCAAGAAACCAAACCATTAGGGAGTTGAGTAAAATTTTCCAGACTCTTGATCAGCACATTATCCTCTGCTTGTGTCTCCCATCTATGCATCCACTTACCAGTATCTTATCCTTTGAAGCCATCTCGGATACATCATTTTTTCACATAAACTTCAAAAAACATTGGGAAGCAGTTGGGTTCTAGTTGATATGTTGTGAAGCAGTTGGGTTCCCTTAATTTAAGAAGTAGTTCAAAGTTCTTGGATGTTACTATCTTTTGGGGGTACATATGGGTAGTATCTGTTGAAGATTGATCTAATTGTAGTGACATCCCCTAAAAACCACGTTTTGTAGCAAAAATTTACACTTTACGTCTTTACATTAAATGTTCAGTCGAAATAGCAAAAACTGACTTTGTTGTTCAGTCCAATAGGGATAGTCATTTCCATTAAAGAATGGAGGTCTATTAATGGATTGGTTGGCTCTCTACAATGTTTCCTCCTAGTGTTGCTATGATCTTTTAACTCTAACTGTAGTTACACAAGGATCTTAGAGCCCTTACTCTGATACTAATTATTGGCCCAAAGTGCAACCTAAGAGGGGGATGAACTAGGTTTCTAAACTAATTTCCAATTTAAAATCTCAATTTTAGTATTTATGAAATTGATAAAGTGAGTTGTTATATGTTGATTAGATGATATGTTAGTAATGGTGTGTGTATGTGCTAAACACAAAATAAAATAGAGAGTGAGAGAGGGAGAATGCAAACACAAGAATATATAGAGGTTCAACCTCAAAATTTGGACTACGTCCTTTTCTTCCTTCTCCCCTTAGATGTTCCCTTTCTCTTCATTGAATCTCTTCAATGGGTAAGATCCCAAACCCTTAGAACTTTTCTCTTCCTCGAGTACATTACAAATATCACTCTTTGTAAGCTTCACTAAAGAAAAACAATCTACCACATTCTCTCTTATTTTTACAATAAGATTCTCTCAATGTAAGGAAACAAGACAAGAAGAGTGTATATACAAGCTTACACACATAAGCAAACAATTTTGATCATTTTCTGTTTTGGCTTCTAGCTCATCAATATAATGTTGTAAGAGTTCACTCAAATGCATTGAAGACCCCTATTTATACTTGGACTCAAAATCTTTGAATTACTTCAAAATTCTAGCCGTCAGCGTGCCTAATAGTCTTCAACTAGTTTGCTGGCTCCCAATCCGGCATATCGGATCATCAATAGCCAAGGCAAGACTTTTGTTGGATGCTGAACTGGCATGCTGGATGCCTACAGAAGTTTTTGGATCCATCAAGGTAAGGAGATGTTGTAAGTTGCTGAGGTTGTCGGTTGCCATTCAACATGCATCTTCACTGAACCGGCATGTCAGTTCTTCTTATCTAGCATATTGGATCACTTGCAAACCTTGTCAGTTCAACCTTCATGCCAAAACTTCTGTGATCTTCAAGGGTTGTTGTGCTAAGAATTTTCTTGAACTTACACTGAAAGTACACTTGGAGGCATTATGCTTGAGCTTCTTGTGCTTCAGGACCTTGAAAAACATCTTGTAAGTCAAAGAGATGATTTTTTGTCTCTTACTCTTCACCACCAAGTCATCTATACACACCTCCATGGTTTTGCTAATCATGATGCCAAAGAGCTTCGTTACCATTATCTGATAGGTAGCTCCTACGTTCGTAGCAGTAGATCCCTTTTGGTATGATAAAGGCAGTCTTCTCCTCATTGGTTCCGAACATAGGGATTTGATGGTAGCCTCTGTATGTATCTAGGAAACTCATCTTTGTATGCCCAAACGTTGCATCTACAAGTTGATCGATCTTTGGAAGTGGGAAGAGGTCCTTTGGGCAAGCCTTGTTAAGGTCTGTGAAGTTAACACATACTCATCATTTTCCATTCTTCTTTATCACAACAGTGTTGGATAACCATTGTGGATATTGGACCTCTCGTATGGCGTTATCATCTATGAGCTTCCCCACTTCTAATGACATCAACATGGTGGAAGACATATCTCCTCTTCTGAATAATAGGCCTGCAAGTAGGGTCAACGTTAAGATGATGACTAGTTATTGAAGGGTCGATACCTAGTATCTTGTAGGGTGTCTAGGGAAATGTTTCAATGTTCCTTCTCAACAACTCGATAAGGGACTCCTCCTCGAAAGTAGGTAGCAACGACCCAATTAAGAAGTATCGTTTTGGGTTTTTCTTGGTCCACTGGTACAACCTACAACTCTTCAACTAATTTGTCATTGGGCTTCACTCCTACATCCTCAAGAAAGGGGACCTTCTCATCTACTTCAAATATCTATTGTGACTTAGTCAGCAATTTAGCCCTAATGTTGAGGCCCTACTTGGAGGTAACTTGGTCTCCACTTGCATCTGGTGTAGCCATGGTTTCACCATACTAGCATTATAGGCATAGTTGTCAA